TTTATGGAAACAGGTTCATTACTGTACATTTCAGACCACTGCCAAATGAGCCAAAGGACAGTATTATTAACTTTGAGGTTGCAGATTAAACTCTTATTCTTAGCCCCAAGATAATTCAAGTCTGCCCTTTAAACAAACAAATAAAAATATCCACGGTGCATAGTTAAAATGTAAAGACTTTGCACAGGCATATTCTGTATCAGCATTCTGCAAACTGGATGAGAGTCATAGCTCAACATAAATAAACAAACATGATGTTAGGGTGCTGGTATAGGGAAAGCTGTCCTACAAAGATGCCCTGCATTTATGGAATGTCCTACACTGAAATCTTTCCAGATTATTTACATGAATGCACTTTTTTGCAGCAAATATGACAATTTTGTTTTGGCATTTTTTTCCAGTGGCTACAATTAATGTGGCAGAAAGATCATTTTATCTGCTTTTGTTTCTAATTATATAAGGATACAAGTTGCAAAAAGAAAAAAAACCTAATCCCTGGCTGCACTAATAGGTGTGCATACATAAACATATTTCACTTGCTGTATTTGACCAAGCTTTTTCGGATGTCTTGTGGTACTAATAGCCCAAACCTCAGTGTAGTGGATAAACATTTTTCTAGACATGTCTTCCCTGGAGAGAAGGGGGAAAATCAGTGTTCAAGAATCCATTGTTTACTGATGATAATGAGTAATCTAAAAATGGACACAATACCGCTCAAGCTAGCCAACAACCTAACAGGAGATCAATGTAGTAATCAGGGAAAGCATACAAATATATGCACACAAAACTTCAGGCATACTGAAAAGAATACATTTAAGGTTTTTAGGACATTTGTCACTTAAAATCTGAACACAACAACAACAACAACAACAACAACACTGTGGGACTTTTGAATCCAGACTGACAACGTTTTGGAAAACAATACGCCAGACATCACAATTGTGGAAAAGAAAAAAGTTTGAGTTATTGATGTCGCCATACTGAGTGACAGTCGCATTGAGGAAAAACAACAGGAAAAACTCAGCCATTACCAGGACCTCAAAATCGAACTGCAATGGCTCTGGCCAAGTGGTCCCATGTTGTTCTCAATGTTTTTCATTGTATTTTATGACTGTCATGGCATCAAATTGCTGCCAATTTGTAAGCTGCCTTGAGTCGCCTTCGGGCTGAGAAAGGTGGGATAGAAATACCGTAAATAAATAAAAAATAAATATGCTCCATTACTTCCCAGAATCTGAAATGTAATCACATGTACACCAGGATTGGAGTAAACAATATGAATATACAAGCCTGGTATGTTCATTGCCATTTTCTACTTGTGAATAGGTACTTCTGAAAGAAGAAGGATTTCTTTTGCGTTCTGTCAAGTATATTGTATTGCTTATTTTATCAAATCTGTAAAGGTTGCTTCTTTTTATCCTTTGCAACAAGAGCCAGGTAATATGTGTGTGTGTGTGTGTGTGTGTATCGCCTTTCAGAAGCCATTCTACCTTTTCTCTCTTCTCCCAGAGATATTTTTCCAAAGCATTCCTCCTCACAAGTCTCCCGCAAAGCGAAATACATTGCTAGTTTTCTTTAAAAAGGCAGCTCTATGTGAAATCCCGTATTTGTTAGGTTGGAACATGATATGCTTTGCAGTGCTGAGCAGTTTTATGCAAGCGCATGTCTTAGTGCGAAAAGGAAAACGTTCCACAGAACAGGTGAATTATAAAAATGAGTAAAGAGCAGAAAGGCAATGACAGTTTCTGACAGTGGGAAGACAGGCCCTAAAAATATTCTCTTTTGTATATGGAATTCAATGTTTTCCTGACAATTTATTTTTATATTTCATTATTCTTCATGATAAGGAGATCAGTGAAGCTCTTGCAAATGCAAAAAGTTTCTACATCTCAAGGAAAATGTCAAACTTCTGCTATTGTCTATTATTTAAAAGTATGAAGTTCATTTATTTTAGAATAATGGGATATGAGCTTTCACATAAAACTGCAAACTGTAGCAGCACAGACCAGAGCTCTTGGATCTCTCAGGCACAACATAAATGGCACTTGACATAAGATATAATTACTTTAAATGCCCAAACAATGTACCTACAGGCTCTTTCCTCTTTTGAAATGCTTGAATTCCTTCCACCATCCCTTCCTCCTGTATTCTGTAGTGAATTATGGTATGCCATGGCATATGCATCAATATACTGATAATGGTCATTTTGAAATCAGAGTTTGAAACTGCACTTTGATAGCATCCATGCATTTGTGAAGCAGTGGATGCATGCATCTTTTACCTTTGCTTCTGCTGCACTGCCTTTGCCATACAATTCCTGGTTCACTTTGAAACTAGCAAATAACAAACTAAGATAATAAGCCAGGTTCTTATTTTTGTCTTGAAACTAGTTTTATTATCTTTGTTTGTTAATCAAGAGTCAACATTGCTCAATTTGGATATAACAGAGACCACTAGATAATTCAACACAGGAAATTATTCAAAATTCCAGGGATTTTTTTCTGTGTCAGAAGCGACTTGAAAAACTGCAAGTCGCTTCTGGTATGAGAGAATTGGCTGTCTGCAAGGATGTGGCCCAGGGGATCATCCTGTGGAAGGCTTCTCTTATGTCCCTGCATGGGAAGCTGGAGCTAACAGATGGGATTCGAGCCGCCGACCTTCAGGTCAGCAGTTCAGCTGCCACAAGAGTTTAAACAATTGCGCCACCATAGCGCCTTAAAATTCCAGTTGATTACTGTGTTGGTGGGGAACGTTTCTGAAAAGTCCTTTGTGATTGTCAGCTGATTTGATGAGGATAACACGTGTGTCTCGGGTTACCTGCTTACCAAGTTGTGCTACATCAAGCAATACAGGATTTTCAAGTTAGCAGCCTTCAATCTAGTCTGATAGGCTATCAGATTTGTAAAAGAAAAGAACTAAAATCATAACTTATGGATGCTAACAGTAAATTCAATAACCCAAAAGTTTTATTTCATATTAAAATATGGTTCTTTTCCTTCTGCTTATCTGACTCAATGCACTTGAACTATAAGATGCAAAGAACTACAGAAATTGGACCTGACAGTTCATAAAAGCCATGTTGTCAGCCCAATAATACCATGAGACCACTCTTGGTTTGCTTGTTATGGGCATGGCTCTTGTCTACCATCAACAGATAGACAGTATATGTTACATGTACTGCTGCAGATATACAGAACCTCATCATAAAGGGGTAAGGATTCGCCACGCATCATGGCAAATCCATGGGTCCCGCCAGGGGAGCATGGAAAACTTGTCACTCCACGCCCCACATCATCTGACTTACCTGGGACCCCATCCCATATGAGGGGGGGGGGAGTGCTGCTACTGGCTTTCCCCAGTTGATCCAAAGGCTGATCCAAAGCCTCCTATGTTGTGCTCTCCCCTTTCAGCATGGAGCCTGGCTGAAAGTATACATGCACCATATAATGGGCTCCATGTCAAAAGTAGAGAGCAAGCCGCATACAAAGGGAAAATCAGCCCATCTGATGTGGTGGTAACTAAACCATAGGGATCTGGTCAAATTGAAGCTCACATTTGATTGAACTCCATTCTAGATAGCTATTGGACCTTGCTCTGTAGCTTCTAACTCAAGGGGATCCTTCTGCCCATAAACCACTCAGAGAACCAGGGACAGATTTTTACCAGCAGACTAAGGTCACTTCTACACTACCATATAATCCAGATTGTCTGCTTTGAACTGGATTATATGAGTATACATTGCCATATAATCCAGTTCAAAGCAGATAATCTGGATTTTATATGGTAACGTAGAGGGGCCTCAAGAGTAAAATCAGTGGGTTTCCAGATCAATGGGACTGCATTCCAGATGGAAAGAGTCAATCAAGGAAGCCACAATCCTGTATCTCAAGACATGAGCAAGGCAGACAAGGATAGGGTGATCTGGAGGTTCATGGGGCTGCCCTAAATTGAAGTACATTTGATGGCAGTTAACAACATCACTGCAATGGGATTTACATGAATTCACCAATAAAGAATTAGCTCAACATGTCTACTTTAGGTGGGGCAACCCATAGGATTTAGGCTAAGGCATTTCTTGGAATTCCTCTCCTACAAAACCTGTCCCTACATCCCTAAAAAGCCCTTAAATGTTAATTGCTGCCTAGAAATCGAAATGAGGGCAAAGTCAATCTTATTCAAAACAGACACTGGAAAATGAAAGACAGCATCCTCTTTCATCCTGTAAAAGTTGCCTACCTAGAGAAAGGAAACACTACGCTGTTAGTTTTATATCATTAGAAATTTTAAATATCTGGGTAAGAGAAATCAAGTAAGAATACAGTAGCACCTCACTCTCTAGAGTTTGGAAAATTCTTATTTAGAGAATAACTGCTAGAGTCCTCCAGCTACTATAGGAATTAATGGGAAATACAAAGAAGGAAGGAAACAATGAGTAGAAAGAATATGTCCATAAATCTTGTGCTGCAAGAGTTCGCATTCCCCAATTCTTCCAATAGTTGACAGCTTTAATATATTCTGGAATTGAAGCGTTGTCTCTTTAATAGGAAGTATATACTTTTGTGCATGCTCTTATTTTGAAACGTTCTTTGTGACCTTTTCTAGCTCTGATTGTAATAGAAAAAAGAAGTCAAAAAGGTAGGTTTTGGTATCACTTCGACAACAAATTCAAATGAAGATAAATTCAGTCATTAAAACGGCCCCTTTCCCATGAATAATTCTGTGTGATATCCCACTGTATTGTAATACAATTTTAAAACAAATTATGAATGCCGATTACAATGCTGAAATCCAATTAGAGGAAAGAGGAAGAAAAATATTTTAAATAAGTAATTAAATAACACAAAATAATACATTAACACAGAGAAAAAGAATAAAAGAAGCTTTTAGCTCAACGTCTAGGAAATTCAGGCGTCTGTATAAAGTCCAACAAACGTATCTGGCTGTATAAATGAAACCATTTTTCATGAATTCAAGAAGGATATTGTGCAAAAAGATCTTACCGGAAGGTGGTTAAGCGGCACGTCCACTTGACCCAGGAAATCGTCTCTGGTCTGTTAATGGAACAGAAAAGAAAATACAAGAATTACATTATTTATTAAATCAATTTTATTGCTGGATGGAATCATGTTGCCTTTTTTAAAAAAAGAAAACTTGAATTTCGTTCTGACAGCTGTTGCCTTCTCTAAGACATCTCGCCTTAAGAATGTGGTGTCTTGTATTATTCAGGTAATTTTAGTTCCTTCAAACTTCTTGCAGCCTGTAACGGTGTGTAAGAGATTATAATTTGAAAAAAACTTGAATGAATTCCTATGCACAATGAACATATCTTATTTGTAGTGCAAAAAAAAACACTTTAAAACAAAACAATAATTATAATGAAGAATAATTTTAATAAATATAAACACATTAGTATTTCAATGGGAAGTGTGGATCTGCTTTTGGCTGATGAGATAGGATTGTTGTTGTTGTTGTTGTGTGCTTTCAAGTCATTTCATACTTAGGTTGACCCTGAGTGAGGGCCAGGTAAATGACCTTGGATGCCGTATCCAGCCCTCAGGCCTTAGTTTGGGGACAATTACAAAAACTGTAGATTGCCAATCACAATTTCTATATTCTAAGAATTTCTACATTGAATGTAACATGAGAACATTCACACGATTAATTAAAGACTGTTTATAGTTGGAAGATAATTTTTCAATACTTTGTTAACATAGTAAAACTAGAGCTTTCAAAATCACAATTAAATAATGTCAGGCACAGTGACACAAAATAACACTTCCTATATTATCGAAAGTTTGGGGACCCCTGCAGTAGAGTCTCGCTTATCCAACCTTTGCTCATCCAGCATTCTGTATTATCCAACTCAGTCTGCCTCCTGCCCAGATCCACTGCTGTTTCAAAACATTGCGATGTTTTGGTGCCAAATTCATAAATACATTAATTACTATATAACATCACCACGTATTGAACTTCTTTTTCTGTCAATTTGTTGTTAAACATGATGTTTTGGTGCGTAATTTGTAAAATCATAATGTAATTTGACGTTTAATAGGCTTTTCCTTAATCTCTCCTTACTATCCAACATTTTCGCTTATTCAACATTTTGCCAGTCCATTTATGTCGGATAAGCGAGACTCTACTGTATGGTATTAACATTTTATGCTCCTCCTTCCAAATTTGCATATTGTGTTTTTTATGATCATTGTTAATAATAGATGAAAGGAAGACGACAGCTAGCTATTCCTGCTCCCAACACGCTTTTCCAGGGTATTCCTAGTGATATCTAAGTTTTTTTCATAAAGTAGGCCATCCTATCTTAAAAACAATTAATACTGAATTTAAGACCCATATAACCATACAGCAGTTCTGTAGGAACCAACAAATAGCTTGTCAGGATTTCCTTTTAGGAATATCTAGGTTCTCCAAAGTAATTCTATGGTATGCTGGGACTAGAAGCGAGGTAATTTAATGGCAGTTGTGGCTTGACATAGCCATAGTTTGGCTGCTTATGGGGTCCTACTGTTCATAGACACTTGGCTTTCTTCATGCATTCCAATTGATAGATCTGAGCTATACATGAAGAATCATAGCTGCTTCTCCAATATTTTCTCTGCTGCGCAGTTCTACTGGTAAGTGACTCTAGGATGGCCAGGGATTGATCCTAGAGCTTTCTGCATGCAAAATATTAGCACCGAGTGGGAGGTTTTGAATAAATGATGACAGAGAAATAGAGCCTCAACTCGTTGAGGGAATTTCCATGAATGCAGTATTGCCACAGCAGGAGAAAGAAATGCAGTTTGTAGGGTAATTATTCTGCACAGACATTAGCTCTGTCTCATTTACATCTTGTCATCCTGGTAAATGTGTAATCTTCACAGCAAGATGCATTAACAGGGCCTCCCTTACAACCGCCAAAACAAGTGTTAAATAATACAGTTAATTTTAACAAACATCAGTTGCTTATTAGCAAGAGAGCAGTATTTCATAGTAATTACTGCTATAGAAATTATAGCAGCATCTTTTTTTAAAAATGAATTCTAGGACCATGAAGGTTACAACTGCTTTGATCACTGCTTGTAACCACAGATGTTTCCAGTACAGTATATTTCATATGCTGCAATACACTGAAATTCGGTGCAAACCCATGTGAGATGTTTAAAATTTCCAGAAATGCAAAGGCCATGATGTACCGAATGTTTATGTCCAAGGACATCCCAACATTTTGAAACAATTAACATGTAAAATACCGTATTCTTTGAAGCAGATAGTAAACAGTTAGCCTTCCTACTGGTTGAGCATAAGGCTCTTCCAACATCACTCACATTTCAAATGAGTTGATTTTCTTCATATCAGATTTATTCCGTGGCCAAATTTCAGAACCATGCATACAAATCAGAAATATGATGTAATGAACAATCATGACTTTCGTATTCGATGATATATTTAGACTTCAGGATTTTGTCTAGTTCCTTCATAGTTGCACATCTGAGTCCTAGAATGCATCTCTACTATAGAATTAATGTGATTTTATCATCTTAATGGTGTGGCTCAATGGTATGGAGTCCTTGGATTTGTAGTTTGGTGAAGCACAGCACTCTTTGGCAGAGAATGCTAGCTTCCGAAGAATTGAGTCATTGCAGTTAAAGGGCAGTTGACATGGGGGGGAGGTCGAGATGGTTGGCGCAGGGGGATATGTGTGGTTGGCAAAGAGAGAAAGGTGTGCAGCTAGTAGAAGCCCTTTAAAGGGCTTCTTTCAGCCACATGCCTTCCCATGGGGCCAGGCATCCCCTCTCGGCACATCTATCCAGCTGAGTTGCTGTGCTGAGAAGGGAGGAGAGGAAGATGCATGGCTGACAGAAGCCCTGCAAAGTCCTCTATGTGCAGCATGCCTTCCTGCTGGGCTGGGCCTCTCCTATCCTCTCCTCTCTTTTTGGCACAGCATCCTAGCTGGGTCGCTGTGCCAAGAGGGAAAGGCGATGAAGATGCACCTTCTCACCAGGCCAGGTCTCTCTTCTAGGCACAGCAACCAAGTTGGATTTCTGTGCCGAGAGGGGAGAAGGCACGTGGCTGCTAAGAGCCCTGCATCTTCCTGCCAGGATTCCTCTCAGCACAGTGACCCGGCTGCAGCCAGCTCTTTGTGCTTAAAGGAGAGGAGAGGAAGGAGCATTTCTCCCCATCAGGCCTCTCCTAGCTCCCCTGTCCTTTTGGCATAAGGCTGTGGTAGTGGGCCACTGTGACCTTACATGGAAAGGAGGGGGGAAGGGGGAGGACCGGAGAAAGCCCCCCCCCCCCACATTTGGCCCACGGGTCTTAGTTTGCCCATCCCTGGTGTAGATGCATCCTTGGTCTTCCTTCTGATTTCYTGATCACAGTCTCTGTTTTGATCAATAGCAGATACAGATTATAGAAGATCTTMAACAATTTCAATGACTTCATCATTTACTTTAAAAGTTATATAAACTATCTGTTGACATTATTACTGTTTCCTTAATGTTCTTGGGATTCTAGCCTACATTAATATGCTATATAGGCTAATGGGTATATAGACCACATTTCTACATAGTATGAGATCTAGAGAAGGAACTTTACAAAAGCACGTGAGAAGAATAGTACAGTACTACATTTCTTTGCCTCCAATTTATCTCTCCTCAAGTGTGAATGACAGTCAGGCCCTGCCTATCTTTGCGATCGCATCTCCCTCTATGAACCGGCGAGGACTTCCGGGGAGGTCCTCCTTTCGCTCCCACCACTGTCACAAGCAYGGTTGGTGGGGACGAGAGAGAGGGCCTTCTTGGTAGTGGCCCCCCGCCTCTGGAATGCCCTTCCTAGAGAAATAAGACAGGCCCCATCCCTCCCCTCCTTTCATAAGAGCCTGAAGACCTGGTGGTTTAAACAAACCTTTGAGAACAACTAGTTCTAGCTTAGCCCCAGATACTGTTGAAATTGGCCACATCTTTTTCTACCAATTACCCAGGTTACTTTCTTCTATTAGGCCCTGGAAATGTACGGCCATAGACTCTACCTAATTTCCTGGGCCCTCTAAAATTGCACTAGTCCCAGCCCAGCCTTTTAAATTGCCTTGAACAGGCAGGATTGTTTTAAATATATATGTGTTATTGTGGTTTAAATGCTTATATTGTCTTGTTAATTTTATTTTTATGCTGTTTTCCTTGTATGGATTATGTTATTTGGAAACCGCTCTGAGTCCCCACGGGGAGATGTTGTTGGGCTCCCCATATGATTCTGACAGTGACCGATAGAAAAGTTGGGGGGGGGGGTTGTTAATGCCGATTGAGCATACTTTAGACTAAAATGTTTAGAACTGTGCTATGAGATCAAAATTTGAACCAATGAGGACATACAGGATTGGTAGATGAAGTAATTGCAAAACACCCTCATTGGATCACAGATGTGTAACAGCTTGGTAAGGATGTGTTATAGTTGCCCTATTTTGTTTTTACAATCTTTAAGGAATCATTTTCTTTAAAACTCTTTCTGAAATAAAATAATAGCTTGAAGAGTGAATGCTTTGACGTCTGTTTCTGCTAGGTCTGACTTACTGTCATTTTGCTTTAAAGGAATCTTTGCATGGCTCCTTGTTTAATCCCATGGAACAGAATCTTCTCATTATGAGAAATATTTGTCACCTTTGCTTCTATACTACTCAATTCCCAAGTCACCACAGCCTCTGACAACTGACATTTCTTGTGGCTATTTTTAAGAGCAGCAAAGCGTTGTCAATCCCGCCCCAGTGTGGACCACTTTAAATTAATGCCATCTTTTGCTAAACGTATAACATACTTATAAAATGAATTTGCTTCTTGGTTATGAAAACCTTCAATTAAAAATAAATAAAGGCAAAAAGCAACAAAACAAAATTGATAGTGAAAGCTTTCCGAGAAAAAAGAGTATAAACAAGAGTTTCCCTATTCAAGAGTTTTCAAAATACACTTGAGTGACAATTAAATATATCACTTGTATATTCAAATTGAAGAAACGAAACAAATACACTTTTCAGTCCTATATAAAAGTGTATCTTAATATTGTTGAT